TCTGGCCTCTGCATGGAGTCATATGCACCTGCACACACCCACCCCATACACACCGAGGAGTAATGCTAATGAAAAGAAGCAAGGAAAGAACAAAACTAAGAGCAGGGATCTTTGTTTCCCCTTCATTCAGTGCTCTGGGATCTCAGTTTTACACCACGGGCTCATGGGACTTTGTGGTAGTTTGAATGCAATTGACCTCCATAATCTCTTACAGGGGGTGGCACTATTAGGAGGTGTGGCTTTGCTGGAGTGGGTATGGCCTTGCTGGAGGAAGTGTCTCACTGGTGGGGGGGGGGGGGGAGCAGGCTTTGAGGTCTCATATACTCAGAATACCACCCAGTTTGTCAGTTGCCTGCATTTAGTTCCAGCACATCTACTTGCACACTGCCATGCTGATAATGGACTGAACCTCTGAAACTGTAAGCAAGTCACCTCAATTAAATGTTTTCTTTATAGGAGTTGCCGTGGTCATGGTGTCTCTTAACAGCAATAAAATCCCAAACTAAGCCAGCCTTCAAACTGCATCACCAGCTGGATCGATTCTCCTGGCTTTTGCCATGACATGCATGCACAGGACACACATGCACACACATGCCTGTATTTCTTTAGAGACTTCACCCTGTCTAGTGAACTTTGTGACAGGGTCTAATATAGCCCAGGATGACCCAACTCCTGGTAAACCTGCCTCTATCAAGTACCGGAATTACAAGTGTGTCTCACCATACCCAGCTCAATAAATTAATTTTTAAAATTAGGCAAGAGAAACTTTTTTAAAAAGCTACATGACTAAAACATAGATAAAAATTTGGGCAGCATCAATAATCCCATACAAAATATTAAAGTCATTGAGCTACCAAGGGCTGGGGAGATGCCTAAACACTTGAGAGCACTACCTGCTCTTGCACAGGACCAGGTTTGATTCTCGGCACCTGCATGATAGTATACATAGTTCCAGAGCACCTAGCAGTCTCTTCTGACCTCCATGGATGCCAGCCATGCACTTGGTGCAGACATACATCCAGGCAAATCATTCATATACATAAATTCCTTTTTAAAAACTAAGACATTGCCAGGCAGGACCAGATTAAAAGATCCCAGCACTCAGGAGGCAGTGATGGGCAGATTTCTTGAGTTTGAGGCAGGGCTGGTCAACATAGTTATAGGACAGTCAACACTATACAGAGAAACCTTGTCTAGAAAAACAAACAAACAAAAAAAACCCAATAGAATTGCTAAATTAAAAAAGAGCATAGACCTTGAAGACATCTTTGTAGGTAAAAGTACTTACTATGTATGCAAGGCTGGCCACCTGAGTTTCGCCCCAACCCAGTGAAAGAGAACTGATTTCTAAAAGACATGCTCCGACCTCCAGGACATGCACACTCCCCCACAAGAGTGCCAAATTTTAAAGACAAGAAACAAGAACTGGAACTCTCCCATGCTGGTGGGAAGAACATTGGATATTGCTAAGTTTACTAACCGTGAGTGAAGAAGACAGTCAGTAGCAGGGTCCAGGTTCAGCCCCCAGTATGGTATGAACTTGTGTCACGGTGTATGTCTATAATTCCAGCACTTAAGAGGTGGAGCCAGGAGGATGAAAAACTCGAGACCTCCCTTAGCTGTGCACAAAACAAGTTCTAAGACACTAAGAAGCTGTCTTTAAAAAACAAAACCCGGGGCTGGAGAGATGGCTCAGAGGTTAAGAGCATTGCCTGCTCTTCCAAAGGTCCTGAGTTCAATTCCCAGCAACCACATGGTGGCTCACAACCATCTGTGATGAGGTCTGGTGCACTCTTCTGGCCTTCACGCATACACACAGAATATTGTATACATAATAAATCAATAAATATTTTTAAAAAACCCCACCAACCTTACTATAAGCATAATTTAATAACCACCATGTACTCACACAGTGGAACATCTGGCAAAACTGATATATACAACAGAATAATCACAAAACCACACGAAAGCAGCCAGACACACGAGTGAATACATACGCAAAATGACTACATTTATAACTATATTGTGTGTATAGATGTCAGCAAATTCTGGGGCTCAAATCCAGGTCGTCAGCAAGCACCTTTACCAACTAGCCTGATTGCTAGCTCACTATGATTTAGGCTAGACGTCACCCTGATTAGTACTGAGGGCTGAACATTTACACTAAGTGTTCTACTCCTGAGCTATATTCCTAGTCTTTTAACTCTTCGTTTTGAGACAAGGGCTCAGTAGCACAGGATGATGGCCTTGAACTTTCTTTCAATTCTCTTGCTTCAGGCTCAGGTGTCCAAAGCATGGCAAACCTGGTATCTCATACTGCACAGCTTATCCAAGACATAAGTAGCTGGCCTCAAGCTCATGGCAATCCTGCCTCAGCCTTAAAAATTTCAATTACTCAACAAACCATTTTTTTTTTAAAAATTCTCAGTGGACACACCTGGGTGTCAAATAATGTTAATTGATCTATGATTTGTTAGAGAACTAGATACTCACAGGTTCATGGTGGAGCACCTCAATTGATGAAAAGCTTGGCAAACTTTTTCTAAACGGGAATTTTTAAAAAATTTATTCTATATACATTTGTGCAAGTGTCCAATCCCCTAAAACTGCAGTTGAGTTGTATCCTGCTATGTGGGTATTGGGAATTGAGCATGGGTCCTTATGAAGAACCAGTGCTCTTAACTCCTGAGCCATCTCTCCAACCACCTCCCCTTACCCCCACCAAATTTCAATTGATAGGAAAAAGAAATGTCCAGTGTGGTCAGTCTCAAGAGTCTCTTGGTTCGACATGCTCTTCTATTGCTTTCAATTGATGGGTAGCTTGAAGTAAACCAAGGCTGTCCTCAAGAAACCTAACTTTGGGATTAATGTGTACATTTGGCCAGTTCCATGGCTTTCAAACCTTTGCAAACTTGACCCCATCAGCATCTCTATACCAGATAGAAACTATTTCTGGTTAACAATAGTTCTTGAGTAGAATGACTTTCAAAAACGCTGGACACATTTGGGGGACAGATATAGCTTTGGCAACCTGGAACAGTTGCAAAATGGAAAGATCACTTTTCCCAAATGTTTCACCTGAAATAGTAAAAATGCTCCTAGAAACAGGCTGGTAACTGTCAACTGCAGTAATGCCATTCACTGCACGTCTCTGAGGATTAAACAAAACAAAAAACAGACCTGGGACCAGAGAGCTAGCTTAGCAAAAAATGCTTTTCTTCTGAAAAAGAACCTGGGTTTGACAACCAGGATAATGGTGATTGAGAAAAACACTTCACATTTTAATTTATTGAAACAGGACCTGCCTCTTCATCTGTGCTCCAGATAAATTACCTCAAGGTATGGGCCAGGACTTCTAAGCACTGCCATGTCAGGTGGTGATAGTGCGAGCCTTTAATCCCGGAACTGTTGCACAGAAAAAACTCGTGTACAAGGTCCTTTCGTGTTTTTTTTAATGTACTTATTTATTATGTATACAATATTCTGTCTGTGTGTATGTCTGCAGGCCAGAAGAGGGCACCAGACCTCATTACAGATGGTTGTGAGCCACCATGTGGTTGCTGGGAATTGAACTCAGGACTATTGGAAGAGCGGGCAATGCTCTTAACCACTGAGCCATCTCTCCAGCCCGTGTGTTGCTTTTATAGGTTAATAAAGAAAATGCTTTGGTCCTGCTGATAGCGGAAGCAGAGTCAGAGAGCCACCAGAATCAGACATGCTGACTCTTTCCAGGTAAGCCACTGCCACATGGCCATATACAGGTTCAAGCCATTCACTACCCTAACGTTTGTAGCTCAGAATGCAGAGATTAAGATTGGGGTCTAGAATTTATTTTGTTTTTCAAGACAGGGTTTTGCTCTACTTTTGGAGCCTGTAAATCAGGCTGACCTTGAACTCAGATTATCAGCTTGCCTCTGCCTCCTGAGTGCTAAGATTAAAAGGATGTGCCACCACTGCTCAGCTAGAACTTGAAGTTTTAAAATACTACCAACACTTAATCTGAACTGAATACAACTTGCCAATGTTATGCTTAGCTGTCCAAAAAGTTAATTCTGATCTTGGTCTCCATTACATGTCTAGAAAACCCTTTTATTCCCACTAATTCTAACTGCCCCACCCCTAAAATCTCAAGTCTGAAAATCACTTAAACTCTTAACTGCCTCCCTCAAACCCTGAGGCCCTCATTAGTTCAATGTAATTTACAGGTTACTTTCAAATATATTTCCTACACCAAAATGCTTGGTTTTCTTTATTTAGGTAAGAGACTGCTGTATCCATGTTCCCTGAATACAAGCTTAGGGCTTGGGCTGTACCTCAGAGCACTTGCCTTGTATGCTTGCAGATCTAAGCTGAATCCAAAGTTAATGGAGATGTAGGAAAACTATTAAGGCAACAACAATAGGTCCTCGCATAGGCTTGAACTCAAGACTCTGTCATGTTAGTATCTAGTTTATCTGAGTCAAACATATTCTACCCATGGATGCTACAGTATGCAGCACATTATGAAAACCTTGGACATTCTATAAAATAGCCCGGAGCTAAAGAGTTGCAGGCTAGCTATACTTATAACAGTCTTAAATAGAAACAAATGCTGGTACTAAAAACATGCTTTGAAAAATAATCCCAGCACTCAGCAGGCAGAAACAGGCGGATCTCCTTGAGTTCAAGGTCAGCCTGGTCTAAAAGAGCTAGTTCCAGGAATGGCTCCAAAGCAACAGAAAAACCCTGTCTCAAAAAACCAAAAGGAAAAAAAAAAAAAGGAAAAAAAGAAAAAGAAAATTAGATAGTTATTTAATACAACCTCAGCCCCAAAGAGGAATCTTCATTGCAGTATCGACTTGGCTAATATATTTGAGGAATACATTTTTCCAAAACAGCACACAGTATGGTATCTTGAAGAAAAAACAATATTACACTAAGCACTAAATAAACCATAAGACTTTAGTTACAATAAAGTTAAAAGAAAGCCAACACTTCTTTGTAAACCAAGTTGCATTAGCAATTTTTCTCTTTGCCTTTATTTAAACAGTTCTCAAAACATTTGAGTGAATTGGGCCTCCTCTGGTAAGCAAAGGACCTGAAAATAATATTTAAAAAATGAACAGGCAGTCTCCATCAGTTCATCCATGACACAGGTGTGGTGATCCCTTCTCTCATTCCAAACTTTGAAGCACCCAGTATTTTCATATATCTAAGCTAGAAGAACAAAAGTACATTTGTGGTGGAATGTATTGTCGTCACTTGTTGATAATTAGTTGAAATACCACTATCTCTTTTGTAACAAACAGCCTTTTAAAGACATGTATCTGAAGCTCTTATTCCCTGCTCTATATAATACAGATTACATAAAGGCTGACAAATCCACATTAATGTAAGCATTAAGCATTTGCTGTATGGAAAGATTTTTGTTCTAATACTAGCAGCACAGAGTTACAGCGTATTTTTAACACTTAATTGCAAGTATATTGAATATGGCAAGTTTCATGGACTCCCGAAAGAAAACGAGTATCTTTATTTTAAAATATTTTACTGGAAACTTAAGAATGGTTAAGCATTGATATTTAGAAAGAAAAGTAAAAATCAAACTTGTTTATTGTTGCTTTTTGCCATTTGGTAGCATTTTACACACAGGCTTCGATCTTCAGAATACCCTGGATTCAGTAGAAAAACCTTTTAAATGAAGTTTTGTACAATAGAAACTTCTCAGCAGTCAAAATTTGGACTGTAAAAAAATACATGCAAAACATACTTTTCTGAAAACACTTAACTTTGAACAAAGCACCGAACTACACAAATGCAGAATGAAAACAGCATTTCAACTCCACCAAAAGTAGTCATCATAAAAGGTGTAAAAGTCACCTAACTTCACTAGGCACTGTTCACTTTTTAAACAGGAGACAATAGAAAATATTGTCCACAAACAATATCCCAGCTCTATGGCAGGTTTCAGAAAGTCTTCAACTTCATGCTTTAATAGCGACCTGGAAAGAAAACAAAACCTCTGTCAATGTTTGGGAATCAAGTCTCTCACATGAATAAGAAATTTATTCAAGCATTAGATGTATACACATCCATATTTATCATCTAGCTGTCACAGATTAAACTATGACCAATGAGGACAGAACCACGTGGACTTCCAATTTATAAAATAGTTACAAATCACATTATAAGAGATGAATAAAACTAATCAAGGCAACTTACGAGGTGAGTATGATCGCGATCTGGAACGTGACCTGTATCCTCCACGGCTGTAGTAAGGAGAAGGTGACCGCCTTCTGTAAATAAATAAAGACTGTGTATATCTGCATCTAGGTAATAGATGGGCTAATAACATGAAGACAAACTTTTGCTGGTTCTCAAGCTGGGAGGTTCCAATAAACCTTTAAGTGTAGTGTATTACGTCCAGATAAACGCTAAAAGCATCTTAAAGCTCAATTTTTAATTTCCATGAACCCTTTACATTGTCCATTGAGAACTATTATGAACTTTAAAAAAACCAAATCATATGGCCAGAGAGATAGATGGCTAACGTTATGAGCATTCACTACTCTTGCAGAGAACCCAGGTTCAATTCCTAGCACCCACATGGTGGCTCAAAATGTGAGGCCATCTTGTCTCCAAAGAAACAAAGTATGCATGTGGTAGACATAAAAATGCAGATGCATTAAAGGTGGTGGCATACACCTTTAATCCCAGCATTCAGGAGGCAGAGGCAGGTGAATCTCTTTGAGTTTAAGGCCAGCCTGGTCTACAAGAGCTAGTTCCAAGACAGCCAGGACTGCAGAGAAACCCTGTTTCAAACAAAACAAAACTCCAAAACACTGACTAAATACACATATAAATTAATTTAAATAAAAACAAAAAAAGCAAGATCAGACACGGTAGGGCATGCCTTTAATCTCAGAATTTGGGAGGCAAAGGCAGAATCTCCAAGTTCCAGGTTACAGAAATCCCGTCTCTAGTCAAAACAAAACGCAATCTTCGCGGTGTCACTTAGAGAACAGTTGCGCTTAAGTATCAGGCAAACATTTTACAAGTATTCTGTTACTCAGACTTTAACAGAAATTTACACACCTGTAAATTTGATCCCTGTCTTGAGCAGCTCTCCATCCGCCGCCTCCTCCACCACCTCCTCTGTAAAAACAGAAAATTGTTTTTAGTTAAAACAATTGCGACAAGAATGGACAAAACCCTGTTTTGTAGTTAATGTGTTAAAGAGTTCTTCCTGAATGGCATAGTTGCTCTCAATAAAGACTTCTCAGTCCCAAGTGCTGCTTAACACACTAATGCTTAAAAAGGAAAAATGCCATTTTGTTAAAATTCTGGACATCAAATATTAAAGACTTAGTTCCACAGACAATGGTATAATGAACAATCTTCAACAAGAAAAATCTCATTTACAAAAACTAAACACACGATCTATAGTTAAACAGAAGTTTCTGCTAAAGTCTTTTAGAATTACTTGTTGGTGACTGTTGCCTTGATACTTTACCATCTGAATTAAATACCCAGAACCCAAGTAAAAGCCAAAGATTGACCTCCATACATGTATAAAGTCAAGTTTCATCTTTGTTTTAGCACACCGAGTTTAATGTCTCATTTGTATTTAACAATTAGGCAAGCATCCAACTACACAGCAAATTAGACAAATATCTAAAGTTTTGATTTAAACTGCAGCTATTTCTTACATTTTAAAATTTTAGGTGTTTTGTGCTGCTGTAAATGAAGTGTGAATGAACTCCTACACAGCTTACCTGTATGACCTGCTGTAATAGTCCCGGTCATCATAACCCCGATCATATCCTCTGTCATAATAATCGCGGCGGCGTGAGCTGCCACTGTGAACAACATAACTTTTAATTCAAGTCATCATCCTCATTTGTTGGCCACAACTTTTGCTATTAAAATTTGATCCTGATAGATAACAAACCTCTTAAGTATCATTACTTAAAATTTTTTCTATACAGTTCTTATCAGTATTATCCATGTTTTCTTTTTCCTTGTTTCAGATATGTATATCCATATGTATGTAACCTTCTGGTTTTAGAGGCACAAAAATCCAACGACTTTCTATAAAACTGTTGGGCATATTGGCACACATCTTTAATTCTAGCACCAAAGAGGCAGAAGTCTGTGAGATTGATGCCAGTCAAGGCTTTCTGGTGATATCCTGCCTTTTCTTTTTTCTTGGAGGTGAGGGATTTGGTGTGGGGGGAATTGGGGGACAGGGATTCTCTGTGTAGTCCTGGCTGTTCTTGAATTCAGAGATGCCCTGCCTTCCAAATGCTGTGATTAAAGGCATTTGCCACCACTGCTGGGCTGAGAACCTGCCTTTAAAAGGTTTTTCCTTTAATCTTTCTTTTTTTTTTTTTAAAAATTAGACTCAGTGAGTAAAACGCTTATAAACAGGACTACCTAAGTACTCACCTCAAATTCCATGCCAGGTGCCTGTCACATACCTATTCTAATGTTTCTAAGGCTAGAAGATGGTATGTACAAGCAGAAATTTCCAGAAGTTCAAAGCCAGATAGGCTGGAGCAGTGAACATAAACCCACTTTAAAGCAATATGAAAGGTGAGGGAACACAAAGGTTGCTCCACATATGCACCTGTCTATGAGCTCACCCAAATGCTCATGTACATACAAAATATTAACTGAATATTAACTGGGTGACAACACAACTCACATAAAGATGGAGAGAACGCAGGAAGATGTCTTTTAACATCTGCCAACGGACCCCCATTTGTTATAAGAATTTTATTTAGAGGTTTCTGAGATGGCTCAATACATTATAGGTATGAGGTCCTCATCATCCAAAGTATGGTGATAGAAAGGCCAGAGACTCTCTGTAGCTAGTTAGCAACCTCTGGATTGATACATTGTCTCAAAGTCTAAAATGATACCTAAGAATCAGAACCCAGTCTTTGTAAGAGAAGCACTAGACAGCAACTGATAAAACATTCACAACTGATTAAAATGTATACTAAATGGAACATCAGTACCAACCAAAACCTATCCCCCCCTCCAGGTTCAAACACCAGGAACAGAAAGATTCTAAAGTCATAGATTAGGAAGATGTACAATGGTACAGCTTGAACATGACTCAACTCATGAGTGAACAGTAGTTACCCGCACCAGTAAACATTCTAGCACCCACCCCTAACTCAAGGAACTAGATACAGCTGGAGAAGTTGGTTTTCAACAATGGTAGGATGACCATAACGACGCAGCACATGGCTACACACCCATGAAGCATGAGTGTACTAACTGGTCTGAGTACACTGAAGGGGAGGAGGGGGCATAAAATTGGTAAAGAGATCCGTGGAGGAGTTGGAGACATTAACAGCAAAGTGCTAGGTAATGGAGCTTACAGCCTGTCAACTGAGATAATCTCCAGAACCCATGTAAAAGTCTAAGAAAGGAACAGATGCCACAAAGGTGTCCTCTAAACCTTACTTGCATGTGGCTGTGCAGGTACACAATATTTTTTAAAGGAATTTCTTCTAAAAAGATATCAAGAGATTGATGGGGGAAAAGACGGAGGTAAACAGCCAACATGTGCCTCTATAACATTCAAGTACCCAACCACACATATACACATATAAAGAAGGTAAACTTACTAAGTAGGTCTCCCCATGTAAATTCCTGGTGTTGGGGTATGGGGCCTTTTTGTGATAGAGAAATCGACCCTAATTCGACGTCCATCAAGCTCCATTCCATTGGCACGTTCTTTAGCCTTAAAAAGAAATAAATTGTTACATACATCCTGAATAATTGTCTCTTAATTATATTACAGCTATTTAATGAAGACTAAAGGGACTTTCCATCCAGTTTCCTAATATTTTTATAGAAGTTTGGCCATAAAAAAAACACCTAAATTAAATGGGTTACTCCCTCTACTACAAATTCGCTTTCTAAAAGTAGTCATAAAAATAAAAAAGGATAAACACCATAGCAGCTGACCCACAACATATTTATTACAACTACCTACAAATTTAGGTGAATTTAGCTAATCCATTGGTCTCTAACATCCTAAGAGTTGGGATTATACACACATACATCACACCATTTATGAAAGCCAGATTTCAATGTCTATACTTGCTGAACACAGTCCAAATGCTCTTCTTTACCTATGGCCATTTGGTATGGGAAGAAATAAACAAACTTGTTTATATTCTGATTCAAAATGCCTGATGTGGGAGCCAAACATCTCTAAAACGCAGCCTGGATCTAATATTAGTTACATATCCCCCCCTCCCCCCAACTAAAATGAGCATGGACTGAAGTTCACAGAACTGGCTGCTTTTCAAGACCTGTATTCAATTCCCAACACCCACACTAGGAGTCATCACAACTGTCTGTAGATCAAGTTCCAGGGGATCCAGTGCCCTCTGCTGGCCTTCACAGACACTGCATACACAGTGCAAAGACATTCATGTAGGCAAACACCCACACGCACAAACTTAAAATTTAAAATAGCTCAGTGTATTATTCTTTGCCAAAATATCTTTAGGGTTCACTTTTTATAACACAGCATTACAGAAAAAGCAAAGTGTTTGGTATTTACTTCAAAATGCTTTTAGCCTAGAGACAGTACCTTCCTGAAGAAAGTACTAAGACCACCAACCTAAGTCACACTTGCTTGTTTTGTTTTTTTGCAATGTAAGGCTGAGAGTAAGTTCAGAACATCACTGAATTCAACATGTTCCAAGCGGAATTTTTTTTTTAATTCCTCCAAAGAACAAAAACTCAAAACTATAGTTGTATGCCTTAGATCTTAAATCTATAATATAAAACCAGAAATTGCCTGGTCAGTCAGAAGTACAAGTAAATATTTACTTACTTCCTTGGCATCATCTACATTTTCAAAATATACAAAGGCAAATCCTCTTGAGCGTCTAGACTGCTGGTCATACACAATAGACACATCAGCAATGGGGCCGTATTTAGAGAACACTTCTCTCAGGTCTCTTTCTGTGGTGTACAAGCTCAATCCGAACACCCCAAGACAACAGTTGGGGTCAGGATTTGCCTAGAAAACAAACAGATTTTAATCTGAAAATTTTACATAGATCTTAAAGAGGGTAAGTGGACAAGGTAAGGATAACTAACTAGAATATAACATAAAAAACAATTATTAGGATGATAAATTAGATCAAGCACCACTGCATCTTACAAAACACTGTGGCATACAGCGATAACCACAAAGGGTAGGAAATCCCAAAAGGGAACTAAATTAAATTCAACCCTAAAAACAGAGAGGAGGATCATTAAGAGATTTTGTTCTGATTTTTTGTTGTTGCGTTTGAGGTTTGGAGCTCAGCTTAGATAATACTCATCAGGGAATTTATTCTAAGGGGAAAAAAAGATAGGCTGTTTTGTTTTAGTCTGGAGCTCATGCAACCCAGGGTCACCAAAATCTCACAGGTATCTCAACTGTGAGATTACACCAGCTAGAATTGCCAAAGAGGGGTATAGCTGAATCCCAGGAAATATCCCTCTGCCCATTCTTGGTTGGCATACTCTCCCCTCCTGTTCACTGGAAACTTATTCCTGGGCTCCTTAGACACAAACCAACTCCTTCAATTGTCCTGACATCTATGTGTACCCCTTGGCACATGCCCCCTCAATCATGCATACACAAATGCAAAAAATAAATAAATAAAAAGAACTGGATATAGGTAGTCATGCACTCACTCAAACATGAGGGAAGCAGAATCAAGTAGATTTTTAGAGATCAACCTGGTCTACTCTGAGTTTTAGGACAGCCACAGTGGCACAACACAGTCAGAGCTTATCCCAAAAATGGAAACAGCCAGGTGATGGTGGTGCATGCCTTTAATCCCAACATTTGGGAGGCAGAAGCAGCTCAGCATGGTCTAACAGGGTGAGAGCCAAGGCTACACATAGAAACCCTGTGGGTGTACGGTAGATGCATCACCATCACTATTAATATCAAAGGAAAACAACCAAAAGATACTTAACAAGAATGTCATATTTTGCATAGCTGTGCAAGGATAGGTTGGAGTAAATAACTGGATATAAGGGTGTGCATTATACATCTATGGAACAGAAGGAATAATTCTACCTTGGGTTCTGCATTGAAGATTCCACCAATCTCAGAAGGAAATTAAGTCTTGGTGGGTACAATAAGGGTGTCACAACTACAGTTAGACCTCCCACCTAACTAGCAGCACATGTTACAACTGTGTTTTTTTGAGTATTTTAAGTAATCAGATATAAAATTTAAATGCAAACTAAGCACATTAGTAATGTTACTAAAAGATAAGGGTGATGGTGCCAAGACTTCAAACTAAAAATGAAGCAAACAGTTAAGCTTCATAAATTTGTGGGCTTTTTCATTAATTCTTCTTAATGTCTAGCAATTGAAACAGACAAGGGGAACTATATTACATATTAAGTGATTATAGACAAACACACATGAAACCCAAGAAAGTGCAACAAATTACTTTAGCAGCTATCATTAGTAAAATAAATTTATAAACGTTACAAGCATTCCAGCCAAATATTAAGGAACTTAAAAAAAAACCTGGGTTCAGTCCATAGCACTCCAGAAAACTTTCCCATCTTACCCGATTCCCAACATGACGCCTTCGAGTGGACATGGGAGAATGGCTGTGGCTGTGCCGCCTGCGATAATCTCGGCTGTAAGACCTGCTCCGAGATCGTCTATGGGAGCGGGATCGCGATCGTGACCTTGTATAATGCCTTCTAGAACTTCTTCTGGATCTAGACCTGCAAGATAGAACTTAAGGTTATGGCTAAATAACAGAAAAAAATAGATAACCTTACAATTTCTTTATTACTCTATTCTAGAGTTAAATTCCAAACAGAGGACATAGTTCATGATAAAAAAAAAATTACCCCATCTAATCATTTTTATTTTGCTAAGCAAGCAAAGTCAAGAACAAAAAAAAGGCTCCCTCTCATTATTTTTTCCAAAATAACATTAAGAAAAATTTGAAGTTAAGGATATTTAAAGTTCTGAAAACTGGACCGTACTACATGTTTGGTTTGTGAATGCCTTTTTAACCTTTTATCCTCTATTTCTGTATTTCCTATTAAGCCAACTATTCATTTTGGCCAATTAACAAAAGCCACTATATTTATCTCTTAATTAAGGCAGTGGTGGCCTGTGCCTTCAATCCTAGCACTTGGGAGGCAGAGGCAGGTGGATCTCAACCCTGCCTTAAAAAAAAAAAAGCAAGCAAGCAAACAAGCTTTGGGCTGGAGAGATAGCTCAGTAGTTAGGAGCACTTGCTGCTCTTCCAAAACCCACATGGTAGCCAGCTCACAACTGTAACTCCAAGATCTGACACCCTAACACAGACATTCATGCAGGCAAAACATCAATGCACATAGAAAATAATTAAATTCGTGGCTTTTGAGTAAAGTAAAACATAAAGGGATCACCAAAACCAGAATGCACTGATAGATGAAGTACTGGTGCTATAAGCAGCCAAAGTTCTAAAGTTAAACATAATCTACTCAAGTCAACAAAAGATCTTAACCCTGACCCCAGAAGCCCAGGTTGTTTTAGTCTTCTGGTTCCCATTTCTAATATCAACATTAAATAGACCAATAAATGAACACATCCTTTACTTTCTTTAGCTTAACAAATCACACTAATTTCAGAGCAGGGTTAATAGAAAGATTTCAAAATAGTCTTTCTTACCTAGATTCAGATCTGGACCGTGACTTTGACCTAGAACGTCTTGAATCTTCCTTGGAGCGAGACCTTGCAGGGGTGTGCCGTGCAGATTTCCCGGATCCGTGAGCACTTCCACTTCTGGAAGCAGAACGGGATTCCTACACGCAGATGTCAAAAGTTTTAATTTGTATACTTCTGAAGAAGCTTTAAAAATAAATAAGCTTCTGTGAGATAAATGGCCAAGGAGAACAATCCTCTTTCAAAGATAAGAAAACATGTGATGGCAGGAATTGAGTATACCTGGTATAATAGTTTCATCACTTCAACTTACATCAATTAGCTCTTCCACAAGAATTACCTAACTCCACTCCCCTAAAAGGTTTCAAAGTCAGATTGTTTAAAGAACTACCAAAGTATTACATTTGGGAATTATTACTACATAAAGTGGGAAAGAACTTTAGTTAACTATGAAGCCTAGTCTACTCCAGTCAAGCAACAATCAAAACAAAATCCTGTAACTTCAAGTTATGGTTTTTTAAATGAGGGGCAAAAATAAAATAGTTTAGGATAATCTTGTGTTTCAAGTTTGGAAGGTAGAAAAAATCTAAAAGACTAGCTAATGGACAGGAAATGGCTAAGATAGTTTTCAATGCATGTTGAGACCTCTTACAAAACTCAAGAGCAAACAAAAGGAACTAACAAAAAAGCAAGACAGCAAATTGCTAAGAACAGAAAAGGTGCCAAAGATCCACAGCTTTCTTGGCTACAATGGCAAGAGCCAAGGCAAAATCATACAGGAGACCAAGAAAAAAAGCAGAAACAATATGTAAAAGGCACATTAAAACAAAGATAAAACCAGGAACTTTCAGCCCAAGAAAATTTCTGTAGATGCCTAGGCAAATACCATGGACTCCTGTTTATTAAATGGGAAGAGACAGTGTTCATTCCCCAGACAACTAAGCTTTCACTATGACAAAACCTTTTAAGGCAAAAATGAAAGGCACAGTCTAGTCAATTGTTCTTAAGATACAGCCACAGCGAAGAAGAAAACAAAGCCAAAAGGGCACGAATCTCAAAAATCACTTCCAAGTATTTTAGAATCCAGACTATGATTTACATACAGACTAAGGAAGACAATTTAGAGCATTCCTCCTCAATGCTCAGAACACAAAAATATGCATTTTATATGCAACATAGAAGGGAGGAACCTCAAGTAAATGGATGAAGACAACTGCAAGAATGAGCAGCTTTCCAGGCCCCAAATAATCTAGAAAATACTTCAAGGACACACCAAAGCATGGTTGTGATTTAACATGTGACAGATAACTTACCTCTCTACCAGAACTTCATCCCCCAAGGAATAGCTATAGATTAAAATAAGCCACGTGTGACTCAGCTGGCTTTAATACCACAATACAGTTTAGGATTCACTGCTCGTGGTGGGGAGAGACTACCCCAATTAACCAGCCATTGGATTTCAGCATCTAATGTTCAAGCAAGGCAATTTACATCTCACTTTCTTCTTGGTCAACAACAGAAAACAAACTTATAGTGTAGCTTTTGTCATCTTTACTATAGGGAAAGGCTAATCTACAAGAGAAAACAGAAGGGACTAGAAAGTTAATAAAAATGCATTTATTCAAATTCTATAAGAATACCTTACAGAACAATTAGAAGCTTTAACGAAAACAAAATGAAAAATTTTGCCAGAAGAGAATATCACTGCCAGAAGGCACATTAAAAAAAAAATCACTGTAAGGTAAATTTGTCTGCGAATAAAAGAGGTACAAAAGTTCCTGGGAGCTGGAGAGATGGCTCAGCAGGTTAAGAGCACTGGCAGCTCTTTTGAGGCATTGAGTTCAATTCCCACAACTACATGGTGGCTCACAAACATCCTATATATAATCCTGATGCCCACTTCTGGCATGTAGGTGTACATGCAGATAGAGCACCATATACATAAATCCTCAAAAAAAGACTGTTGCTTCTTTTTAACCAAAGTTTTATTCCAAACTGGGATGCCTCAGCTATCTCTCTGCTAAGAGAACAGAAATTTCTAGAATGGGAAATTAGATGAGGAAAGTTTCTTCTTAAAAGTCAAGTCTAGTAGAGGGGGCTGGAGAGATGGCTCAGAGGTTAAGAGCATTGCCTGCTCTTCCAAAGGTCCTGAGTTCAATTCCCAGCAACCACATGGTGGCTCACAGCCATCTGTAATGGGGTCTGGTGCCCTCTTCTGGCCTGCAGGCACACACACAGAACATTGTATACATAATAAATAAATATTTAAAAAAAGTCTAGTAGACTAAGGTGTCTCAACAAACGTCTTGGAAAGTCCCCAAGACCTTTTTTTAAACTCAGCCTCCAAATCTAATAGGTATGTCCCACATGTACTTTTTGAGCAACAATTTCTTAAGAGTAAAAATGAGTGGAAACACAAAAGATCCCCTTTGCCTGTATACTGGCACTGTTGGGCAAGCTGGGGGGGGGGGCTGGGAAAGAACCCACAAAAAACTACCTCTAAAAACTTTGCCAGCTAATCCTTTGTTAGTTAAATCCTTCCAGTTATGTAGATATCTATAAAGGTGAGAAGAAAATATAAAGGATTTTGTGTGAAGAAATGAAATCGGTGATTAGCTAAATAAAAAGCTCTAATCGTAAACCTTAAAGCACACACAATTCTATAAAACCAGCCAGGAAAGTCCTTTACAACTCTGAGTGACAAAGCCATAGAGAACTCTACAAAAAGAACTGTACCGTGGATGGCCAATGCCGAAAAGCACCAACAATGACAAATTCTCCCCCAAAAATGCTCAAATCTTAGTCATTTTAACTAATGCATAACCAATATAATAAGGAACAGGTCAAGTTCAAAAACAAAATCTCAAGCAGCCTGTAGCTCCTCCTATATTGAGAGCAGCACCTCAGAAGTATTAAATCTTTCCTTACAGTAGCTCATATGCAGCACTAAACAGCTTTTAGTTTGCGTTAGGCACCCTAATCCTAAAAAGCAAAAATACATGTAAGTTTAATTAAGCCCGACAAACTCAATGTCAGAAGTTAAATCTTTCTATGATTCTTTGGCAAAGTAATCTTCCCTGTATTGCAAGTAAAATTCCAACCCCCATTTCAGCCCTGTTTTCCCTGTCAATAACAGGACTTAAAAGCACCCTCACCGATCATAGGAGACACCTTCTGAAAAGGAAAACAAAACAGATGGGAAACTTTGCTAACTAACATCAACATTTTCACTTTAAGTGTATACACTTGGGACCATATGGAAATTCAAATCCCCTTTAAGCTTGAGTAGTAACATAAAATTGACATTATTTCATCATTATCTGACAATTAGTTTTACAAAGCAACAAACTGTCTGCTATAAATGAAAACTGTATTCTCCTAGCAAGATACAGAAACAAGGAAAGAAGCACAAGTAAAAAGCACTGACAATAGGCTAAAGTGTACCAACACACGCACCCTTCATGAAAGGTCATTTAAATAATTTTCTCCAATAGCTCTAACGACCCAACACTCAGAATAAAAGTTATTATTTCAAGATGATAACCTTTAATATTCTGCACGGAGCAGGCAATTATTGGTTGTCTGCTACTGATTATGGGTACTTGTTAACATGCTAATCATCTAACTATAATCAGTCAAAACACAGAAAAGAATTGCATTGGTTTTCTTTTCGGTTAAGGTAGCACACACACTAGAAGAAAACCATGTTTAAGATGATCATTATAATGAACTAAAGATAGGGAAAAAGGCAACAAAGTAACAGCAACCACTGCACTTTGAATTAGCTATCATACTTGCATGACCCATCTAAGGGAGGCTCTATTATACTTAAGCAAAACCCCTTATAATTCAGTTAGAACAGGCATGCAACAGAATATACAGAACATCCTTATTTGGCACATGTAGATCTCAACATTAGGACTTAAGTGGTTATAGCTTTCCACCAATATGTGGAAACCTAATCCTTTCATTACAATAAAACAAACATGTTAGATGTTTTGCTTGGATCTTGAGGGTTTAGTCCCATTACTACCCTGGTGACAGTCTTGAAATTTTTCCAGTAGAAAATATTCTACTATACACTGTTCAGCATCAAAGCAGAAACCATCAGTGCATTTTAAGAGTCCAAAGGGTGGCTAAGTAACAGACCACCAGTTCCAACTCATACTCACTCATGCCCCAGAAGTAGCAGAATATAATAGGTGAAAAGTCTAAGTAAGGGAAGATGGGAGGCCAACTAGTATTCCCCAGTGGATTAGCAACTGCTTCCTGCTATTTGACTACAAATAGTTTAAAAATAACTATTGCATTTCCATCATTTGACTAAGCAGTTAAAAATTAGAATTACCTAATTTAAACGATTCCCTTGGAAGTCACTTCTTTACCCTGTATATATTCTTCTATTAAACAAATAATGCATGCATGTTTAGCAAAATATACAGGGACACATAAACAGACTAGTAATTACTTAGCGTAGTGCTTTCTGATTCCAGATTACTTCTTATCTTAACTTCATTTTTATTTCTTTTCTTCATTCTTCCGTTTCAAATTCTGACTTCTTTCATCTTCCCCACTTCACACAAATTGCTCAATATTCTACAAGTGGGACTTCTGGTCTGATAATTAGCATGCATTCTTTCTTTTATTTTTTCAAATTTCAGCTTCACTTATTCCTGAGCTTCAAATACTCATTTATAAAACTTGTCAAATGACGACTTCCGCATTTTCCTTCTTCAACATTAACCTTAATAGAAAAAGAACAGGATGAAGAATATTTTAAAACTCCAGGATAAAATCCAGTGCCAAAACTGAAACTAGAAAAAAAATTCCCTTTTGTAGTTTTGGATTTAAAAAATACTAAAATATGCAGCTCAAAAAACTGAAACTACATAGTTTCCTGTTGGTATATGGTAATCATTTCTATATTCCATATAAATTTATCATGCTTAACATGAATGTGAAGTGCGACACTGAACATTTACTGTTCATTAAACAATTTTACAAATTGTAATCACAATTCACACTTCTTATTGTATTCAAGAGAAAATGCTAAGTGTCAAAAGCACATTTCTAGTCAAAAAGTGACACATTTCAATACAAAAGTGCAAGAAAGAAAAGCATGGACAACTCATCTGCACAA